CACTGGCTAATTTTTTTGTTTGTTTTTTACTTGCCACAAGTAACTTCTTTCACTAAAACCTTTTCAGATCGCTTTGTTTTTCACATTAGTGATTCTTGCTGATGTAAGTATTTTAAGTATTTCAAGGATTTATTTTTTTTCTCCCTCATTGTGGAACTTTATCTTGACACAAGCTTGTCTTTTTTATTAATAGTATGGCTTTCAAAAAATAGTAGTAAAATATGCATAACTTAAAATTTACCATTCTGTCTCTAAGTGTACAGTTCAGTAGCAATAAATGCATTCACAGTGCTGTGCAACCATCACCACCATCTATTTTCTGAACTTTTTCATCATCCCAAACATAAACTCTGTACCCATTAAACAATAGCACCCTCATCCCCCCACCCCCACCCCGCCCCAGCTCCAGGTAACCTCTATTCTATGCTTTGTCTCTGAATTTGCCTATTCTAGGCACTTCGTGTAAGTGGAATCATATAATATTTGTCCTTTTGTGTCTGGCTTACTTTACTTATATGTTTTCAAGGTTCCTTCACTTTGTAGCATATGTTAGAATTTCACCCCTTTGTGAGGCTGAGCAGTATTTCACTGCATGTACATAATCACATTTTGCTTATCTGTTCATCTGTTGAGGGACTTTTGGGTTGTTGCCTCCTTTCGGATAGCATGAACGGTGCTGCCATGAAGACTGATGTACAAGTCTCTGAGTCCTTATTTTCAGTTATTCTGAGCATATACCTAGGAGTGAAATTTCTAGACTGTACAGTAATTGTATTTTTAACTTTTTGAAGTACCACCAAACCATTTTCCACAGCCGCTGCACCATATTTCATTCTTACCACCAAGGCACTAGGATTCCAATTTCTCCACATCTTTGCCAACATTTGTAGTATTCTGATTTTCGACAAGGGCCTTCTTAGCGGGTATACATGGTATCTTACTGTGGGTTTAACTTGCTTTTCCTTAGTGACTAGTGATGTTGGTCATCTTTGCCTGTGCTCGGTGGCCATCTGTCTATCTTTCGGGGAGAAATATCTCTTTAAGTCCATTGGCCATTTTTTAGTTCGGTTCTTTGGTTTCTGTTGAGTTGTAGGGGTTCCTGATATATTCTGGGTAGCACAGTCTTTTTCCAAAAAAATATTTGTCTGTCTATTATTGGCTGTGCCAGGTCTTGGTAGTGCCATATAGGATCTTCTGTCTTTGCTGTGGCTTGTAGGATCTTTAGTTGCAGCATGCATACTCCTAGTTGCAGCATGTGGGAGCTAGATTCCTGAGCAGGGATCGAACCTTGGCCCCCCGCATTGGGAGCATGGAGTCTTAGCCACTGGACCACAAGGGGAGTCTTAGCCACTGGACCACCAGGGGTGTCTCAACAGTCTTAATCCAGATACCATTATTCCATGGGCCCCGTACTGTGTTTTAAGGGTTTCCTTTTATTGAGAACGTTGGAATGATTCTGTTTTCTATTAACTAATTCACTCCTAAATGTAACTTGTTAGCATTGCCTCTTACAAATGCCTGCATTGTAAGCAGTGCTTACACAGCCAACAGAAAAGTTACTAGCCTTTCACCAAATGTGAAGTATCAGCTTAGGAAATATGTAACTGAACGCTGTTCATTAGAAGAGAATTCATTTCCAGTTTGCCAAGTGGATTTCATAGTAGCTTTTAAACAGAAGTGTGTCCCCTCCACTTTCATTACCATCTCCCACTCTCACACCCCTTCTTTTGATCACTGTTACTCTTGACCCCATGTTCTTCCCAGGTGGCGCTCGTGGTAAAGAACCCGCCTACCAATGCAGGAGACACAGTTTTGATTCCTGGGTCAGGAAGATCCCTTAGAGAAGGAAATGGCAATCCACTCCAGTATTCTTGCCTGGAGAATCCCATGGACAGAGGAACCTGGCGGGCTATGGTCCATGGGATCCCAAAGAGTCAGACACATCTGAACGACTAACACAACACACTCCTCTTGACCCCAGAAAGGTGAAAGGTACCTCCTTTAGGTTAACCATAAAGCCGATGAAGCATACATTTTAGGGCCTGTTAACTTGCATTGGCCCCTTCCAAGATCTTCTATGTAACTATGCTTTGGAAATTTTTATTTTTTAAAGAAACTTTTCAAAGTTTTATAAACTTCAGGCCCACGAAATCCAGATTTCCCTCTGGATGTGTTTCTTCCATCTGAAGTCAGGTCTGAATCATTGTTGCATGGCCGGAAAAGCAGGCAGGGGTCTTCTGTTCGGTATGCTGAGTTATTTACGACTGGTTTTCTTTCCGTGCCATTTCTCATCTGGGGTGCCAAGCTACCACACTTTTCTGCAGAGTTCCAGAAAAACCTGAGCTCTGAGTATTTCTTGCTAGCCCTGGTATGCTCTTTTGGCTTGCGCACTGAGCTTTATCAGCACACAGCACTCATCTGGCTCTCGGCACTCACACAAACATGCAGGCCAGATTTTGAAAATTTGGTTTGTCTCTGTTCATGCAAAATATGCATGTCCTTTTGTACTGTGCACAGAGCCATAAATAGAATCTTGTACTTGCACAGTGAGAGCAAAGAAGGCAATTGCCAGACTAATACCTAATCTTTGAAAACTTTCATAAGCATAGCTCAGGCAGTTTCCTAAATATTAGGGTATCTTGTCAGAAGTACAAATGAGTCTTCTGGCCTTTATCAAATTGTATGACTTCATTAAGCGAAAATGAATTTTTAAAAAAAAGGCTAAATAAACCTTAATATATTCACTCCTGTCCTATGGTAAGGCATTAATGACAAAAGGACTATTCATCTGTAAATTATGTTGCATTAGATTATTCTTATTTGCTCTGCATAGTGGTAATAACTCAGACAATTGACATTTTTTTCGGTGAAAAGAATATCTCACAAGATGTCATCATGGTTTCCTTCTCAGAAAAAGATGCTCATGTTCCTTCTTCCCTGCTTTTTCTTCTCTCTTCCGGAGCTGTTCTACCCTAATGCCATGAGTCTGTACAGAGCAAGGTATGCATCCACTGGAAGGTGTCCAGGATGCAGCATCCCAGCCCCATCATTGTGAGGGGGTATCCGTGTGAAGGGTGGGGTGTACTGACAAGGCTCATGAGAACCTGAGCCTTGGGTAGTTTTGTTGGGGTGCCGTCTGTGTCAGGGACGGACAACAGCAATGGGAAATTGGTTACAATCAAATAAGTAAATATTTTAGGAATAACGAGAAATACATTGCTTACCAACAGAGAAGGAAATTAAAATACAGAGAAAGAGAAAATTACAATTAATCTTGTAGCTTTGTATTGGAATTGGAAGTATTGGTATAAAAGGATGATTTTCATTATACAGAGATAGATATAGAAATAGGGATGTGTGTGTGTGTGTGCATGCACGCGTGCATGTACACGCACAAACATGTATGCTCTAGCTCTGAGAGGACTTAGGAACAGCAGTAATCCAATACCAAAGACTATACGCAGCCCCAGACATTGGTTTCTAAACACCCTTCTACCCTAAAAGAAATAGGACTGTGGCAGGAAAAGTATGAGATGAACTTGAAACGTCCTGTTGGGCCAGAAAGCAAGGGAATGCTCTCAGAACAATGACCTGACAGAAATCATCTTGAAGGGGCGCCCATTAATCAGACTTAGGACAATTTGAACATCAAAATAAATAGGTAGTAATAGAAGGGCTAATGTCCATGGGGTCTCAAAGAGTCAGACACAGCTTAGCAACCGAACAACATAGTATGTAATAACCCATTACATTGAGAATCTATGAATCTATATTATAAAAAACAAATGAATAAATCAAATATTTGATAAGTGAAAGAATATTTACCTTGTTCCTAAGTAATGCCATACAAGATATGCTAGTTACAAAGGAAAAAAGACTATAGTGGAGAATTCATGCCTTATCAAGTGACCAAAACGAACAGCCCTAAATAATGGGACAAGTTGAATTCTTGTGGAAACCAATAGAATGCTGTAAAAAGAACCAGCATCACTTCCGTGATTTCTGGCAAAGTTTATAATCTAAATCATGAGAAAATACCAAACTCAAATTTAAGGATACTCTACAAGACAGACTTCTCAGGTAGCTCAGTGGTAAAGAATCTGCCTGCCAAGCAGGAGGTGTAGTTTCAATCCCTGGGTCAGGAAGATCCCCTGGAGAAGGAAGTGGCAACCCACTCCAGTATTCTTGCCTGGAAAATCCCATGGACAGAGGAGCCTGGTGGGCTGTGGTCCATAGGGTCACAGAGCAGTTGGACATGACTTTGCTGCTAAACAACAACAACAAGATCTGATTCACTTTCCAAATTTTATATGGCTTTAAATATTATTATCCCCTCTTTTAAGATTATTATTCTAAATCCCAAATATCAGAGATAAAGTAGAAAGGGTAATTAAGTCCTTTGGCCTGGAAAAAATCTGTTCTGGGAACTGTCAAAACAAATCTCATGATAAAATAATGGTAGAATAAGCTTACTGTTGACAGTAGTGAATCAGTCACTTCATCTTTGCTCTTAACCACAGCTGTAAACCTCGGTGTCCACTCAGTCAGAAAAAAAGATATGAATACATATGTTTACATACAAACAAGTTCATTTATGATTCAAAATGTTAGACTAGGCTGCTGTAATTTTGGAAGCACACTGCTGCCTGCCATTTTCTGATGGAGAGCACTTGTGAGCAGGTTTATATACCGGGCCTTTCCCGGGATCGAAGTGTGACTGCATCTTCGGCGCTTCCTGAACCGGCCAGCAGGTGGTAGTCTAGGGGAGGAACAGGTCTCCTCCTCCGAGGGCAGAGAGAGAGCAGAAGGAATGTAGACTCAGCAATGTTCCCTCCTCTTTGGAATCCCTAAGAATGGGATTTCCAAGGTGGTTCTTTCAAAACGGGGACTTGGGCACAAAGGGTATCTCCAGGAAGGAGCTAAAAATAATTTTGTGTACGTGTATGATTATGGAGTATTCTCAAGTTCAAAAACTCTTTTTTTTTTTTTATGGTGTCTAGAAATCCCACTGGTTTTGTATCTCTTTGCCCTGATTTCGATGACATGGCTTTGGGGAGGCCTGCACATGGCTTACAGACACTTCTGGATGTTGGTTCTGTTCGTCATTTTCAACAGCCTGCAGGTAAGCCTCACGGTTGGGTTACAGCACACACATGTCCTAGTGAACACAAGGCGTGGAGTTTCAACATAAAGGAATCAAGCATCCACACAGAGGTGAATTCATCTGCACAAAACATCACGCCGAGTGTTAGATCAAAGTGATAAAGATTGTGTTAAACTTTCTTAACACCTTAAGTATGGCTGGGCTTCTAACTTGCTGGTTATATAAATAGAAAGACATAAAATCTTTACCCTCCTTCATTTTGACAACACCTAAGTAACTACAAAAACATGTTTCTTTTTCAGCGGGATTGATGTTTATAAAGTTTACAGATGGCAGCTATCTAGGGCATGTGCATATATTTGGACTGGGTTTGTATCTAAAAATTAGATCAGCTGAGAGTGAAATAACAATGATGGTCAAGTAGTTCCCTATTATGTCTGGTGCTTGGTGTTTTGGTTCACTGAAAATGATTGACGTCCTCCGAGTCTGGCAATGCCTAGCTTAAGTTAGCTTTGTGAGCATGTTTGGATAGCATAACTAGGAATTATATAACTAACAAAAATTAAAGCTGACTTTTTTGTGCTTTTGTTAAATGGAAAAAAAGTTGCACTCTGAAATTAGCAAATGGAACAAATGAACTCATTTTTTTTTCTTATTTTCCAAAGTGAAAAGATCTGTTTGTAGACTAAAACAGTCTCTTGAATTTATCAGGGATTTCTCTAAACAGATCACCATCTTATAAGAAAAAAAATCTCTGTAGAAAAAGTGTTAGGGTTATAGCACACAACTGAAATATGACTCAAACCATGTTTAGGTTTGCTTTTTCTCAGACAGGTTCATTAATGAAATCATATTTAACAAGGTGGTGCCTAATCAAATCAGAATATCAATTTAGGGAGGGGAAAAATACAGTCACTTAAGTCACTTAATACAAAGTCATTTGGAATCAGGTTGATACAAGTTGACATATAGACATCTCGCAATAGAGTTATAATTGAGTACCCAGTACCAGCACAGTGATGCCATTACGAGGATGAGGATGACAGCCCGGCTCCTCGAGCATCTGATGATTCAGGGAGTAAGCAAACAATTCGCTGTAAGGGTATCCTGTGGCAGGTGCCATGTAAACACAGTGTTACGAGAGCAGAGTGGAGGGCTTGTTTGCTCCTGCCGGGCTAGTGTTTGAGCTGCGCCCCAGAGGTTAGCCACTCAGGTCAGAGGCCCTGTCTTGGTCACCTTTGAATCCCTGGGCCTAGCAGAACTAACACCAAACTCTACGCTGACAGCCGACAGATGCACTTTGTTTGGTGAACACACAATGGTACACAGTACAGGGTTTAAAATTTTTTTTTTTTTTTACTATTTGCTCAATTTAAAAATTACACATCAAACCCTGAATGTCTGGCTTTTCTTCAGTGGCAGTATTTGCATGGCAGCAATTTTCAAGTCCTGAGTAGACATTGCCCTCTTTAGATGAGGCCTGTGACCTAATTATACTCGATATATTTCATTCATTTTACCTGCTCCTAGTTTGTGTCACCTCTGTGTGTTAGTCACTTTTTTAGTTAGTCACTGGCCGACTCTTTGCGACCCCTTGGACTGTAGCCCGTGAGGCCCCTCTGTCCACGGGATTCTCCAGGCAAGAATACTGGAGTGGGTTGCCATTTCCTTCTCCAGGGGATCTTCCCAACCCAGGGGTCAAGTCGAACCTGGGTCTCCTGCATTGCAGGCAGATTCTTTAGCACCTGAGCTATAGGGAAGTCCAAAAAGTGACAAGTAGACAGAGTTGGGTATTTCAGGCAGAGAATACAGTGTTAGACCAGGCTGCAAAATGGAAACGTGGTTAGTCTTGCCTACACTGGGAAAGGTTATACAGTTAGAAAAGCTGTGGTGGGAGAGGAGACGGAAGGCTGGGTTGTCTTAATCGCCGTGTTTCCATGCTCAGAAGGGGATGATAAACTTCAGCCTTTAGGTAAAGGGAAACCATCAAAGTTGAGTTTTTTGTTTTTTAAATTTTGGGCATTTAAAAAAATTTTGAATAGGAATGAGATGCTCATACCTACTTTTTAGAAGGATAGCTGGAAATGTTTAGGAGGGTGTTGAAAAGAAGAGCCGCTCCAGGCAGGAAGGCTGTTGTCATATTCCAGCCTATAATGTTTGGGAGTACACCTGAGAAGAGAGGTAGGTGGCAGCTTTGAGAATATTATAGAGATAAATATTGATGAAATTTGGTTTAGCCAATTAAATGTAGGAGTTGGGAGCCTCCCAGGTGGTGCTAGTGATAAAGAACCCACCTGCCAATGCAGGAAACGTAAAAGACCCAGGTTCGACCCTTGGGTCAGGGAGATCCTCTGGAGGAGGGCATGGCAACCCACTCCAATATTCGTGCCTGGAGAATCCCATGGAGAGGGGAGCCTGTGGGCTACAGTCCACAGGGTCACAAAGAGCCAGACACGACTGAGTGACTTAGCATGCACCGGGTGTTAGAGAGTCACCTAAAGATCCTGGCTCAGGTCCATGGCTGCGGACTGACTCTTTTGGTCAACATGGAAATTACATCAGGAGAGAGTCCTAGGGAATATGCAGTGGAGCTGGTAAGATTTGGGAGACTTTGGTAAAACTAACCAATGGTTTAGTAAGAAGGCTAATGAAAGAGAATCAAGATATGGTAGTTGGGAATTTTTGGAAGAAAAGAAAGCTTCAGAAGAAGACCCCTAACTCTGTCCAGTGTAGCTGAGAAGTTAAATAGGATAAGAAGAGTGCAGTGTGGCCTACTGCCCTAGTCCCTGAAGTGGAGTGTCCACAGAGGCACATGAAGGACTTGTTAAAACACAGATGGTAGGCCCCACACCCAGCTTTTCTGATACAGTAGATCAGGGTGGGGTCTGAGAATCTGCATTTCTGACAGTTCTGACTGACACAGCTGACTCAGCTACTCTGGAAATCAGTTTGAGAACCGCTGGTTAAAGTAAGTGTGACTGCAGCTCCACCAGCCTGCTATCTGTTTGACTTCAGCTGAGTCATAGGTATTTACTCCGTTCTACTTTCTTCATCTATGAAACAAGAATAAAGACCATTCAAGATTACAGTGTGATTTAATGAAATTGCATAATGTGTGTAAAGCATACAGTACCTCATACATACAGAACAGGTTTTTTTTTTTTTTTTTTTTGGGTTGTTTGTTTTATTCAAGATGTTTAATGGAGAAAGCAATAGCTTAGGAAGGAGGGTTGGCTAGTGCCAAGGACACTTGGGGGTTTGGTTTTCTTGTGAAAAGAACTAACGTAGAAGGCAGTGAAAACCAGAAGAAAGACTCATTGCCTTGGCAAGATCACGGACAGGGCAGGGAGAGCAGAAGAGATGCACAGTCTGTCTGAGGGAGGTGTAGACATGTTTCTTTCTCCGAGAGAAGGAAGGACAAGAGTACCCTAGAAACTATTCTGGAGCTGAAATTGTGGAAAGCTGGAGTTTGTATCCAGTGCTGTCTCTTATATCTGAAAGGCAAAAAGCAAAGACGTTTGTTGAGAGGAATGGATTAAAAGCTTGAGGTAAAAATAGTAAAAGGTAAGGAGCAGGTTCTAGGCAGGATGTAAATAGCAAACTATGGTGAGTTGGAAGATGGTAAAGGCATGACTGTCTAGAAATTGGTGGGATTCAGGTTGCTGGTTGTAATTCAGCAGTTAATTACATAAATTAAGCCCCGAGATGAAAATGGTAGCCTTTGTAACTTCTCCAGCCACTCACACAAGGAAAAGGTTTATTGAGCTGTTATGGAGGTGGGAGGCTTGGTAGTAAAGGAGGATTGTTGAGCATTGAACTGTATCTCATGAGAAGATATAAAAGGAATTGTTATGATTTCTTTCTTTGAGGAACTGAAAACAAGCTAAGTATAAGCTTAACTAAAAATATTTCAAATGCCTGTTTAATGAAGTTAAGCAGGAAGGAAGTTTAATGAACTTCCTTCCATCTCTGTGGCACCAATGAAGCCATGACTGTTTGTACCCCTGATGTCTGGTGTCTGGACTTTGGCACGCTCCTAGTACCATTGCTGAGTCAGAGCTAAAATGAGCACCTGTGAAGAAACCCTTGGACAAGATGGTTTCTCTAGGGTTTATTAAGGTTCATTTAATGTGTTAACTATCTCGTGTCTTCACCTTGGGCATTTCCATGGTATATGGCTATATAGTAGTCAATGTATTCCATGAAAACTTAGCAATTTTATTTTTTAACTGAACTTCATATTTTCTTATTGGCTTTTGTCAACACCTGTGACCACAGAAGTGTATTATGTATCTTACACTTGGCTTTTATATTTTGCTCAGAGGTTATTACTGCCTCACTTTTTAATCCAGATTATTATGTCGTAGGTGCTCTGAAACTGACAGATGGAGGTATATTTTTATAATATTCTGATATTTTGATATATATTATTGGATACAATTTTAAAAAGAAAACCTGATTACTTGAAATATTATCGGAAATTTCTCAATCACTTTCTCAAGATTTGGGGTTGAACTTGCGAACTTCTGTTTGAGCATTTTAAGAAAATGTATAGGAAATAATTTAAAGAGTGATGGATGCCAGTGCAAAAGTGATATTAAAAAAGTTATTCTAAATATGTCAACTGTTATTTTTATTGTTTTTCCTTGAACTCTAAGACATTTTTTCCCCAAGAGCTTAACTTTAATTCATGTTTAAATTTTATGTGTGCGTGTTATTTACATCTTCTTGATTAAAAAAAAAATTAAACTGTTGAGTATCAAGAGTGAACAGAACATAGCGAATGAAGGGGGAAATGTCCTCTAAGTTTATTCCCTAGGATTTTTTTTTTTTAATTCTAGGAGTTGCTTGCTAGCATGTCAGCATGTTTATGGTATCTGTTTTACTTTCCACTTCCCTATGATGTGCTTGATGTATGAATGTGAGCTGAACACATCCTGATTTTCAGGGAATAAAGCAGGGAATACACTATGAAAGACTTAAATTACCTTCACCCCCTAGGTCACTGATTATCCAAA